TATAATTCAAGTTGGATGGATGAAGTAGAGGAATGTGTCGAGCTTGTTTTGTGATAGAAAAGTACCACTAAAACTTAAGGAAAAATTTTATAAGATGGTGGTTAGACCTGCAATGCTTTATGGAACAAAATGTTGGCTATTAAAGGAGAAGCATAATATTAAGTTGAGTGTTGCAAATATGAGGATGCTCAAGTGGATGAGTGGCTTTACTCTTAGAGACAGGAAACAAAATGAGCATAAAGGTAAAAAGATTGGGGTAGCTCCAATGGTAGATAAGATTAGATAGAGTCTCCTTAGATGATTTGGTCCCAAAAAATGGCGGACTTCCAATGACCTGATAAGGTAAGGAGAGCAAATGTATTAGATTTAACCTATGTTAAGAAAGGTAGAGGTAGACTTAAAAAAACTTGGTTAGAAAATATTAGAAATGACCTTTCTTTTTTAGATCTAAATGAGAATTTGACTCTTACTCGAACACAATTGAGAAAAATGATTCATGTAGCTGACTCCATGTAGTGAGATAAAGGCTTGATGTTGTTGTTGTCATTCCAAATAAATCCCTAATCATAAATTTATGAATACGCATATATTGACTTGTGTTATCCCACATCAAAAGATCAAAAGTTGTTCTTGCCAACTGGCCAAAACAGAGGCATTAGATAGAGATAGTGGTGGCAACAAAATATGTATTGAGTGATTGATCCTAAAATGTGGTTTTAAGATTGGTACATCTATCCAAAATCCAAAAAAAATGAGGCCAAATTTTTATGAGCTTTCTCGAATAAGAACCTTTTAAAAAAATTTGTCAAAATATTTTAATATAAATTTTATTATAATTGGTTTCGAAGTTCTTATATTTGCACTGAGATTAGTGTAATTTAAAATAACATATACAACACTAATCTCAATGTAAATCCAATATATAGTTCCAAAATCCATTTTTTATTCTTTTTTCTTTCATTATGAGGAGTTTAGTTTCAAAATCCATTGTAATACGGTTTGTATTAGGATATCCTAATACAAATTTTGTTCACTTTTAAAACAAATTATATCAAGTTCAGCATCAAGATTTATTTTTAGGTCTAAATCATAGTACAAAAGCCATAATGATGTTGGACCTATGTGATTTAAATAATTTATTGTACAAAATGAAATTTGATAATATTTATTTAGAGAATAATTTTTTTTTTAATCCATCAACTAATCTCATTACTTTCCTATTATCTCCTTCTTATTAATATTCCAACTCAATGTTCTTTTAGTTTATTAATATTTATTATTGTTGACATAGAAAGCAAATGTGCCTAAATTCTCATGAGTGAAAATGAGCTCTCACCTTTAGAGAGGTTGGTTCCAACTTCTATGTACTTATGAGTGAAAATCACTTCTCATCAATAGGAGCATGAACTATTTTCTATCAAATAAAGATGTGAAGTGTGTTCTTATAAAGTCAATTTCAATCACATTCAAATGCTTGTGAAGAAATAAGTTGTCTTTTTACAAATAGGGCCATCAAATTGTGAAAGAAATACATATATTTTTAAAATGAAAATTATTTTATATTTCTAAAAACATAAAAATGTCATTTTTAAATTTACCATGAGTAAAAAGTTATTTTTCTAGACTAACAATTTAGATGGGATGGGCACTAAGATTCGTCATTTTACTAACCCGATATTTTTTACGTTTTTCTATTAGCAATTTTATCATGAACTAATTCATTAATTAAGACTTGAGATATGTTTCCCACAACTATCGAATCCAACTAGATTTTTTTTAATTGAACGTAAAATTTACGAACATATGTCTTTAAAATATATACCCAATTATAGAATAATGAAATCTCTTTCTACTGAAGTTATTAAGTGGTCATAAACTACGTAGAATTTCAGACATAATAGCTCATTTATGTTAATCTAATTGAACTCAATATTATTTTTGAGTGATTTTGGGCTAAACTAATTTTTCTTGATAGAAATCAACCTTAAGAAACTTGCCACCTTACCCAATACACATGAAATTTAATGAACTATAGTTATAAAATTATAATTGAAACTTTAATTGCATCTTAAGGATTTTAGAAACATTTTCAAACAATAGTGTTTCAAAATTATTCTTTTACTAGTTTAATTTGAAACATGTTAAAATCCTATCAAAATACTTACTTTTTAGTTGAAACTATCAAAATCGGTCGAAATGAAAAATATTAATGACTTTTGAATCAATCTTAACAAAAATCTAATCATATTCAACCATAGCAATAAATAAAATGAAATTTCTAATAAATAGTTATATGGATGTTAAAATCCTTTTTATTAATATTTTAAGTTCACCAACTAGCATTAAAAAATAATGTAGTGATTATATGAATTTTGATTAAAATTTATTAATCCATTTAATATTAATGATTTTAAAATTATGGGAAGCTTAAGGGATGCTTCAACTCTACAAATGATCTTTGACAGTAATGACCTTTATCTCCATACTTATTTGCAATGATTATGAATGCTTTTATAGGTTGATTGATGCCCTTTAGCCTTAACTATTTTTTAAATTTCATCAACAAAAATGACTATTAAGTCTTACATCTTATTTATTTTCATGATTTATTAGGTCTTTATTATGCTAAGAATGTCTCTTGCAAAATCACAAAAAAAAAAAAATCTTCATGCTATCCACATTACAACATACTAAATTGAATATTTTTTATAGCTTGATTAAAATAACATAACTTTTTGAGAGAGAAACACTAAGTTGAATATTCTCATAGCCAAAACTTTCTTTACTATTCATGTTAAAAGTAAATGTTGTTCACTTAGGGGTTGTTCGATTGCCTGTATTTAGGATGTAAAGTAATCTAAATATAGATATTTTAGAAATTTTTATGTTTGGTTTGAAGTAAAAGAGGAATGTAAAAGGAGTGTATTCTAAATACTCATGGCAATATATTTTGAGTGTATTTAGAATTTCTTTGATTTGGGTGATTTCTAAATACACTACAAATGCATATTGAGCTTTGACCATTGTCGGCTACAGCCGCCATCGGGCAACATCGTAGGCCATCCACCGCCGTCGCAAGACACCACCGCCTCTGGCCACTAACAGCCACCCCAGCCTCAACATTATTGTGTTTTACATTGCATTCACTGTTACTCCAAATCAAACAAAAATAAAGTCTAGTCATGTAGTTATTATGCATTTATCCAAATAACTACAAAATATTCTTTTAACATAACAATCATTTTACATTGCATTCCTTTTTTACGCAACCAAACAGCCCGGCCCTTAGAGATGAAATTCCGCCATTCATTAGTCAGCTCCTGAGCTTGTCAATATTTTTTTGGCTGCTTATACACACATCGCATACACAAGACTCGAACTCAAAATCTCTTAGCTAACAGCCTAAGCTCCCAACTAATAGATAAATATGAGTTGTGTGCTTGTCAATGTTTCGCCTGCTAGTAATTTTTGGCTGCTGCTCAAAGGGGGCTTTATTACGCTGGTCCAGACACTATGTAATTATGGCAGACTGGGATTATGGAAGCTTTCAGCCTTTCTAGTTGATCATGATGGGTTTTTTCTCTATTAATTTAGAATGCCTTGCAATCATCTTGATTGCTCCTATGCTCAATTTTATATGGGACACACTTTCTTTCACCTGATTACTTACACTAAATCAATGACTTATTAGTTCTCTTGGGATGATTGGCTTATTTGCACTATTATTTTTATCCTATCGTGGCTGGGGACATATTAATGTATATGAATGTTATTTTTTTTCTGATTTCTTAAACCGGTTAATAGGGGTGTGAAAAATTGACATGACACGGAAATTCGACTTGAATAAAACCCAAAATTTTCAAGTTAGGATCAACCTGTTTTAAGAACAGGTCAGATTCGGGTCCCGATTTTCGACCCGTTTCGAATTCTGGGTTGGGTTCAGGTCAACATGAAAATTCGGTTTGGACCATGTTTTGACCTGCTATCTGCCCATCTCACGCACGCACCGCACTGGGCGTGCCCAGCTCGTACCCAAATGGACGAACTGGTTCCTTTGCCCCGCGCGTCTCACCTTGCCCCTGCAGGCCCCGCACCTCGGTGACTCGACCCCTATCCATCGCATCTCACCTCGCTCCAACTGGCCTGGTTAGCATCACCTGTGTTCGCGCGATGTTCTGGCAACCCAAGCTAATCCTTCTAATTGGGTCAGGTCAACTTGATAACCCGATGTGTCGGATCCGAGTTGCAATTTCTAACCCATTTGCAAAAACGAGTCAGATTCAAGTCAGATCAAATAGTAGTAGATCAATATCAAATTCGATCTAAACACAACCCGCAACCTATTTTTGACACCCCATGCTGTTGGAGAAATTATTACGTGAGGTCACCGGATCATTGTAGGAGAAATAGGATGCGCCACGTCATCGGATACATAGCAAAATAATGACGTGGTATATTCAAATTCGCCTCCAATCGACATCCGATGACTGTACATAATAATTTATCTTCAATATCTGCCTCAAATTCATTTCATAATGACACCAACTGTGCTTCCCTGTCAGCCTTCCATCCCAGCGAACGAACCGGCCCCATTTGGCTATTCATCATTACTCCACTTCAGTACACTCTTCACAATAACAACAGTCTCTATACTCTGTATGTACAAATTTTAATTGAAAAACGCCTATCAGAGCCATTATTGAACGACAGCTTAATAGGTGGTGGCGCCCATATAGACTTGATGAGCACTGAACCACCGCCATTTTATCAGATGATTATTGTACTGTTTCTCACCCATTTTACCTTCTGAAGAAGACAACTTTCCCTCGCCACAAAAATACAGGAAAGTGACTTCCACTCTTCCCACATTGAAGTTTTCACCTGCAGAACAATCAGTCAGCTAAGAAGACCTATTCAAAGGAAAACTTCAGATTTTATTTCGAGGACTGGCGATGAGGACGACTTCGATTCTGTACAGAAGCAATTGAGAAACGCTTCGCTTAAAATTAAAACAATTCAATACTTTGATGGCGCGTGATCTTACTTACAGTAGCAGATTTAATGATTATGAAGCATTAGAGGAAGAAAAAAGCTCTTTTGATTCGATCACAGAGAAGTCGTAGCAGAAGAAAACGTCAGCTTTTATTTTAATGTCTGTCCATGACGAGACAATACAAAATCATTTCAAAAACTCATCCATTAAAAATCTGATTTTTATTTATTTTCTTTCAAAAAGTTCACTCCTTTAATTTCGGTTCTTCATATTTACAGTTGCATATGCGTTCCTCTTAAGAAGGCGAAACAGAGGAGGTAGAGTCGTCAAACTCGCCGCCGGCGAAGGAGCCATCGACGCCGGAGGAAGCCCACAAGCGACGCTCGAACGCTTCCTGCATCTCCTCTGGGATGAGCAGAGTCCTACAAAGAGGACAGGTTCGCTGGTCATGGTTCACCCACCGGTCGAGACATCCCCGATGAAACACATGGCGGCAGTTGCTCAGCCACCGGACCTCCTCCCTTTCTTCAAACTCGTAGAGACAAACGGCGCAGCCATCGGCCAACGGTCTCCTGCGACCTTCCCCTTCTCCTTTAAGAAGCTCGTCAAAGCGGACGACGGGGAGAATTTCTTGAATGAGGATTGCGGAAGCTGAGCAGAGCTCCGGCGGAAGGTTGGCGTCAGGCCAGGGGACCTCCGATTCGAGGAGGTGGCTGAGGCCGGCGACGGCGAAGATGGAGGAGATGAGGCGGCGGAGGAAGTTGAGGAAGAAGATGAGATGAAAGATGAGTTTGGGAAAGAGGAGGTCGGAGTAACCGACGGGGAAGCCCATGGGTGAAGGAGAAAGGAGGTTTTTTTTTGAGTTTGCTCTGATTCTGCGTTGAGGTTTGATCTGTTTTAAAGGAGGAGGAGAAACGGGATTGCGACCTGCGCGTGGTGGGGCTCAACGGTCGTTGGTCGTGAAGGCTGAGGGAGATGGAAGGGTAAATAGTCGCTGGATCTCAGGCATAATATTATTTTTTGTGCAATATTACGGATAAAGAGAAAACAACAAGGAGAAAATGATTGACTTTAATTTATTTTTTTTATTATTCATTTACTTATAAGTTATAACTTTTAATATCTATATTATTATTTAATAAGTAACAACTATTTTCTGTTTTTTAGAATGAATTCATGTCCAAGCGAATTATAATATGTAAAATTGTGAAAATTGTCTAAAATTATGAAAATCGGTATTCTTAAAGTCATTTGTTGTTGCATTCAAAGGAAACCAACATTTGTGTAAATGGCTTTGAGATTCATTCAATGTAACATTAACTTCATCATTTTCCCCCATCACACAGCTTTCCTTAGCCACATCCAAACAATCAAATGTAAGAGCTAATTCATGGACCTAGACATCTGCCTGAGAAATTATGCATGGGATTATCGACATTAGTAGCACCTACTGTGATGCTGTAGAATCTAATTTGGAAGAATTATTCTTTTATCTTTTAATAAATAATAATCATAGTTATCTAATATTATCTATTAGTAATAAACATCAATACAAATTCTATAATTCAAAACATCAATACACATATATTCATTTATAAAAATTATATACACTACTCATGATCTATATAATCATATCACAAATAATGTGTCATCAGTAAAATAATAACTAAAAGAGACAGATCCTGAAGAATCCTGATCAGCCTCACACTCTTGCTTCCATGCCCTGACTTAACCACATATAATGAGCTAAAAAACCAGCAGGTCATCAAAACCTATAACTGAATTCAAAGCATGGTAAAGAAGTAATATGCATATCAATAGTCAAGTCGTAGCAGTTATATTCATATAATCATTGAATCGGTGCATAAATAATAAATCTATAATACAATAACAGTAGAATCTGTAAATAATAAAACACTATGGTACGGAAGTTATTAAAATTATAAATCAAATACGGACGTCAAATCTATAAAATGATTATCATATCAATAATATCAATTAGTACATAAATCATATAAAATATTAAATCAAAAATCGATAAAGACTGACAAAATTAAATTAATGTAATAAAATCGTATAGAAATATACACATGTTATCCAGACATTCTATATCACGTGGTTAGTATATCACATGTTTAATATCAGTACAATGAATCAATAATATTAAATAGTATAAGTATCCAAATCAATAACATTAATTGTTGCGTTCTGGAATATTCGCGGCGGTAGAGAAATATATGGTTTAACGTCTTAGCATTGTATGAAG